ATTATTATTATTATTATTATTACTTTACAACAGCAAAATCACGAACGCGTCATCAAATTACAGCAAAAAACAAAAAACAAAACAAATTACCAAACGCGTGAAAAATGACATTTTGTTTAAAAAAAAAAAAAAACAGGGAAAACAAAAATTCTCCAGTGATTTTATTTTTCCATTTTCAACCCGACTTTAATCATTCGTTCCTGTATATCCCTTTCCACCCCCTCCCCTCCCGACTCTACCTCATTTTTTTTTTTCGAATTCCGTCAGGGATAATGAATTAAAAAAAAAAAAAAAAAAAATTTACTGTTTATAAATTCTCTCTTTCTCATCGTAAAATTAAAATTAAAAATAAAAAAAATTGAATTTTTAATTCGTTTTACCGTGAATGACGTCATCATAATAAAAAATTTAAAAAAAATGTTAATAAAATAAATAAATAAATAAATATATATATATAGTCCGTTGAGATTTCGAAAAATTTTATTAAAATTTATTACTCACCAATGGAAAGATGGAAAATCCGCCACGACGAACGAATGAACAACAACCAGGCATTTTCCAGGCATCGATTTTCGAATATTTATTATTATTATTATTATTACAATCGATCCATTTCAAACGTTCTTACGATTTCCTTTTTTTAACACTTTCTAAAAAGATATAGATAAAGGGTTTTAGTATGTTACTCTTCGTAAACAATAAACATGCGCAGTTTTCCAACGGAACATCCGGTTTGCACTTATTTCAAATTTTCTAATTAAACCGGAAAAAGAAGTAAATTCGACTAAAGATTTTACAAAAAAACTTCAACTAATGTTTTCAAATAAATTTCTTAATTTCTTATGTATAAAAGAAAGTTTTAGTAAAACTTACCAAAAACAAAAAAAAGGTTCGGTCGAAAGGCATAGCTCAGAGTGAAAAACCGAACAAAGAAAAGACATTTTGTAGATTATTCTTTATTAATCATCGTGAGCACCAGATGTACGAACGAGTTTCATTTTTATATAAGTTTTATTTTTCCATGAGATTTCCTCCAGAGAACATTCCAAGACTCATTGCATTGTAGGAAAAATAATAATAATGTTTCAATCAATCGGTGAATGAATCGCATAGAACTGAAAAAAAAAAATTATAACAATTTCCGGCGAATTATTTAACTTTCGTGGGAGACGAGAAGAAAAAAAAAAAGGAAAGTTCTGGAAAAAAATGAACGAATCGAATAATATTGATGATTTAAAAAAAAAAAAAATTAATTCGTCAATTAAACACGAATAAAAAAAAAAATTTAATAAATCATTAAACTTATTTAATAAATTTTAATTTAATTAATTAATTAATAAATTAAAATTTTTTTTTCCTTTCTCTCTCCAAATTTTCCGCTTTCACTTAAAGGAAATGAAAATAATAATAATAATAATAAAAACTTTAAAAAACTTTTAATTGTAAAGAAGAAAAAGAAAAAGAAAAAGAAGAAAAAAAATAATAATAATGATAATAATATTTTTATTTTTATTTTTCCGCTTACGTTAAAAAAAAAACAAAAAAACAAAAAAAAAAACAAAATTAAAAATCATAAAAAAAAAGGAAGAAGAAGAAGAAAAAGGAAAAAAAAGAGGAAAATAATAAAAAAAATAGAAAAATAAAAAAAACTAAAATTATTCCACAATGTTTCCTGAAACTGGAATTATTTCCAGTAGAAAAGAAAAAAAGAAAAAAAAAGAAAAACTTTTTTTTTTCTTTTCTTTCGGTTTATGCCAGGCATTAATTTAAAGTTAAAAAACTTTAAAAATAAGTTTTTGCTGGACAAGTTTTGTTCCGTCACTCAATTTAAAACCGCAAAATTTTATTATTAATTAAGTGCCTCTTCATAATCATCATCATCATCATCATCATCATCATCATCATCATCATCATCATCATCATCATCATCATCATCATCCTTCCTTCCTTCCTTCTTTCATTCATTTCTTCCCTCTTTCCTCTTTTTTTTTTTTTATTTTTAAAGAACATTTATTTTTTACACATTTTAATTACATTCATAACAAAACAAAAAATTTTTTTTTTTTAAATAAAAAATCTTTTATATAATATTAATTATTATTATTATCATCTCTCACTCTCTCACTCTCTCTTTCTCTCTCTGGAGGCACGACACGATAAATATAATTTCGTACTTACGTACACATAATAATATTTTGTCCGACTGCATTTTCCAAATCTCTAATCAATCCCTCCTGTCGTTCGATACGACACCTTAATCGTTTGTTTTATATCCGCCGGAAGAGAAACAACAACAACAACCCCAACAAAAACATTCCACTCGGTTTTTCATTTCCAAAAAAATAAACAAAGTTTTAACCTAAAATTAAAATTTTAACTTAAAACCGAGTTAGAGGAAAAAAAAAAAAAAAAAAATTCATCGAAACAAAGGAAAAAAAAAATCAAAGGAATTAATAATAATAATAATAATAAAATAACGTAAAAAAAAAGGAATAAAATTTTTATCGTGATAAAAAAAAAAAAATTTTGTAATGAGGAAAGATTAAATTAAAAAAAGGAAATTTTATACCTATAAAAAATAAATTAACGAGCCTTTTTCGTACCTTTTTTTTTTTTTTTTTTTTAAATAAAAGGAAATAATGAGTGAGTGTGTGGGTGTGCGTGTGCGTGTAAGTCATTCTTATTAAAAATTAGAAAGCTTTTATGAAATATTCAAACATTTTCGCACAAAACAACAACGGGGGGAAAAAAAAAATTAATTTCGGTTGTTTTTCTATTTAACTTTCTTTTCCCTTAAAAAAAAAAAAAAAGTTTTCCGATTCGAAAACGGAAACGGAAGGAAAATAGGGAAAGACTACTAATAAAGTTAATTATTATATTTTTTTTTTAAGTTACTACGAGAATGTTGTAGTTAATAAACGTCATTTGCGACATAATTTAATTAGGCTTCTTTTTTTTTTTTTTTTTTAAGGAATATAATTTCACACTATCATTCTTTTAAAACTGGAGAGGAAAATAATATGGATGATAACAGTCGGAAAATTCGAATGAGATTTTAAAAAATAAAAAATTTTATACGAACGTTTAAATTATTTCCGGTAAAATCTTTTGAATTCGTTTTTTTTTCTTGTCGCTTGTTTGCATTCAACAAATTTCCGCCATTTTGTTTTTTTTTCTCTTCTTATTATTTTTCGATTCGAATAATTTTCCCACGTGATTCAGGTACATTATTTGAGTTTTTAAAAATTTTCTTCTATCGTATATTTATATTTCTTAACTAAAACATTTATAAAAACATTTTAATTCTTTTTTCGTTGTTACTTTTATACATTTTTTGGCGTTTTAAATATTTAAAAAAATTCCATAAAAAAAAAAAGAAAAAGAAAAGCTTTTAAAGTTACGACGAGTTTTCTTTAGTTTTTTTTTTTTTTTTTGTTTTTTCTTTCTTTTCGCATTATTATAATATAATAATCAAAAAACTACGAGACAAAAGAATAGAAAATGCAATTGGAAAGTCAAACCCTAAAAGCAAAAAAAAAAAAAAAATAAAAGGAAAAAGTTTAAACAAAAAAAATTCAAAAGATAAAAAATTGAAATCAGTTTTTTCCATTTTTTCCATTTTTACAAAAAAAAAAAAAAAACATCAAAGGAAAAATGGAAATATAGACTTAAAAAAAAAAAAAAAAAATGTTTCACTCTCTATTAAATTGTATAAAATGTTTTTGAAAGAAAATATTTTATTATGAATTTACCAAAAAAAAAAAAAAAAAATTCTTATGGTAAAAACTTTTTTTTTTTTTAAATCACGACGCATCATCATTATCATTATTTTTTTTCCATATAATTATTATTATTATTACGAAATAGTTGGCGATGATCTTCCCGTGATTTATGTTAACAACATGTACATAAAAGCTAATTTAATTTAGCTCGAATTTATTTTTACACATAACGAGTAACATTAAACTCCCGGATTTCCTTTGACACACACTAAATCAATAATAATAATAATAATAACAACGACAACGACAATGATGATGATGACAATAAGGGTGTTAAAATTCGAATTTTATTTTTTTTTTTTAATGAATTAAACGCGCGAATTACAATTTTTTTAAATATATATAAAAATTCTAATCCCCGGGTCGAATTAAATCCACGGATTATTTTGAAATTAAAAAAAAAAAAATTCTTTTTACAGGTAAGAAATAACAAGATGAAGCAGAAGAAAAAGCAGAAGAAAAGAAAAAAAAATACACGAGGAAAAGTATTTTTGGGATTTTCATAAGAAAAGTAAATATAAAATATAAATCTGCTAAGGGTTATATAACGTTCCTACTTCTTCTATTTCTTTTTCCTTAAAATTCAAATTTATGAGAATAATAATAATAATAATAATAATATAAGTAAATGAAAAATAAAATTAAGCAATTAAATAAAGTTTTCCTTTTTTTTTCCTTTCTTTTTTTTCCCCCTTTTTTTTTTTTAAATAGAAAAAGGATATTTCATTTATTTACATCCTTTAAATTTAAAATGTCTACAATTAGAAAGAAAGAGAGAAAGAGAGAGAGAGAGAAAAAAAGAAAAATTTCAAAGGATTGTAAATTTTTTAATTCTAAACGCGAATTTAAAAACAAAAAAAAATTAAAAGAAAATTAAAATGTCCGACGGAAAATTAAATAAAAACGTCAGAAAAAATTATTATTTTTTTTTAACGAAACGAATTCTAATGACACGTCCATTAAGCCAAATCAATAATTTTTTTTTGGGACTTGTTGCTTTTTTGTTTAAAAAAAAAAAAAAAAAAAAAATTATTCCACGTGATAAAATGAACGTTTTTAACAATTTGATTAATCTTTTTTTTTTTTAATTTAAACAGGGAGACGCAGATAGAGAGAGAGAGAGAGAGAGAGAGAGAGAGAGAGAGAGATAGTCAATAGGTTTAAAATAATAAAAAAAACAAAAACCTTATATTGCAAAAACTCGACGAGGAATCAACATTATTGCACGACGATAACATTCGAATATGGTCCCATTCTGTTCCAATAATCAATGGCAGCAACTCTGTATTCACCTTTTACGTCCACCGTACCTGGACAAATTCAATTAAAAAAATTTGTAAGTAAATAAATAAATAAATAAATAATTTATTTTTTTTTTACAATATGGCGACCGATTTTACCGTTTTTAATCAATCCGTCAAAATGATACGATAAAAATATCGTATCCTCGCTATTGATTCTATTGAACGTTTTATTTTTATCATTCCTGAATTCTACGACGTACGTCAATATACACCTAAAAAAAAAATCCAATGTAGTCGTGACGTCATTTAATTTAATTCTATTTAAGAAAAATGATTTTTATTTTTCTTGACAACTACCTGTTATCGACCAATGTGTCTTTCCACAACAATAACAATTCCTTATCATAAATTTTAACGTATCTTAAATCCGTTACCCGTCCAGGTTCTTCGATACCTTCGTAACAAATATTTATGCAGAAAACGGAAGGTATGAGAACATTTTTAAATACGTATTTAAAATAAGTATTGTTCGGATTCAAATCGTGGAAAGCGACCCTTTCGAAACCCTAAAACAATTACGGTTTTTTTTTTTTTTTTCTTTTTCACTTTTTCAATCATTTAAATTTATCACTTCGATTCTCACCTCTACTTTTCTCATTCTACGTCTTAAATCGAACGTGGGAAAATCGGGACTTCCTCCTTCTTTCCATATTTTGTAAGGATTGGTCAAAGCGTTATCCATAATGTATCCCACGTATTTTCCCTTAGGTTTATACATTTTCAATGCTATTTTAATTCTCACATCTATGGATTTTGAATAATCGACAACGTAACTATCATTCGTCGCGCGATCGTTCGTTATGACTCCGATAAAAGTACTTTGAAATTTATTATTAATCATCATGTAAGACAAACTGGAAAAAAAAAAAAAAAAGACAATTTTCCGAACAAAACTTTTTTTTTTTTTAAAAAGAAAATCCCGATAAATTTTTTAAAATATTTTACGCTTTACCCTCTTTCGCTCGGTTCGTAATGAATGTCGATCAAATAATTTCCCAATAATGAAAGTAATGCCATGACACTATACGCTGGTTTTTTAAAAAATTGCACGTGCGAAGGAATCGTATTATTCATTTGAAATCTGAAAAAAAAAAAAACCATAAGTTCGCAACGTGATAAAAATAAAGGGGGGTAATAAATATCCATTTTCTTGTAAAAAGCTTTCACACTTACCGAGCTAATAAAGTTCGTTGAGTAAAATAATGAGGAGAAAAATTTATAAAAGCATTATCGTTGCTCAATATTTCAAAAGGTAAATTTCTTTTAACAATCATTTCTTTTACGTGTCCTATTATCACTTGTACTATCAACGCAGCATAACGTACGTCTCCTCTCCATTCAAAAGGTTTATACCATCCCGCCATGATATCCGCTTCGCTTGAAAATAAAACCACCGCAAAAAATTTTTTAAAAATAAATTATTAAACGCTTTTCGACGAATAAAAAAAAAAAAAAAAAAATAGGAAACCCACTTACTCGTTACCGAAAGAAAGTCCTTTTAAATTCTTATAATTTGATATTAAAGTATCGATTAATTCGATACCCTCATCTACGACTCGACTTCCGTAACCGTTTCCTTTTCTGTGAAATGTAATAACATCCAAGTTACAAGGATTCGAATTACAATAATCCAACAAACCCCAACAGAGGAAATGAACTTTTCTATTGTTTCGAAACAATCCACCCGGTCCCGCAATAATTCGCACGGCAGATTCAGATGAACGAAAATAATCTATGTAATTTTCCAATGTGAAATTATACGTATTATATTGTTTGACATCCGGTTCGTTTGTCAATTCGAACGTCCATTTTCTAACGTAGACAATTCCGTATTTTTCTATTAAGAGAAGGAAAGAGACAAAATAAATTCATTTACTTTTTAAACGACGATAACATTTTTTTTTTTTTTTGATAATTAAAAAAAATTTTTTACCGCTGTAACGAATTACGATTTGTTTTA